TCTACCAACAAGGCTATTAAAAAATAAACAAGATTAATTTCACTTCTAAAAAAGCTATTTTCCACATTAATGGAATTTAATTTTTAACAATAATTTAGTGTTTCTGTGTACTGTGTCTTGCACACTTATTCTACATTAACATTTAATGTCTTAATATAGTGAAACTCCAAAACATGCCACATAAATTTTTCCCTTATGGTCAATTCACAATTTTTATTTTTTTTTGTTTAGTTTATAAATTTCTATTTTCTTCTAAGAAGTCTATCCTGTTAAAGCTTTCTTAGTAGCTGGTTGTTTGAAAAGGTCTTAAAAAGCTTTTTTTGGTGTTCTTTGTTCCAAAAACATTATTTTATGAACAAAGTAAAGTAACAGTATTAAATATATTCAAGTCTGTGACTATAATTTAATGTTACCCATGAGCAGTTGTTAGAAATAACAATTTGAAAGGAGGCAATTTATATATCTTAATTGTATTTGCAGCCCCCAAAATAGATATATTTGAAAAACATGTAGTTTAGGAGCCAAATTTATTTTCCTTACTTTTGAAAAGTTTATGATAATCTGTAGTAGCCCATTTGCAAATCCTCATTTAAAGCCTCACAAGTTCACTTTTTTTGATCTTATGACATCAACCATTTGTTTATCAATTCTTCTTATGCTCTCTAGGTTCTGGTGTCATAGTCAAGATTCTCACTAGCTTGTTCTCTGAAAGAAACCTATCACTAAACAATTGACTTATTTCAAATATTTCCCACAAATTTTCTTTAGTGTGTGTTTTAGATCTGAACAGACATAGTAAGAAGTGAAAAGAAAGAATGAAGCAATGTGATTGACTTGTTTTTTCTTGGTCGACGGTGAATTTTGGGACGTGTTGAAGTAGGGTTTTTAATACTGTGTCTTGAGTCAGGCCTGTTTCAGCCATGGGTCGCTCAGAGTTTTTAAGAACCATTTCCTTCCCTGACAACTCTGCTCTTAGTAGTGAATCCAGTCATTGTAGTCTATATAAACTTAATTAAGAAAACTCCTGAACAAACCTGAGTATGAACAATCACTATTCTTTTTAATCAGTATTTTAGAAGCAAAAATTAGTTTCTGTCCTGGATTAAAAGGAGATACTGGTGTTTTCATGCTTTAGAGCAATGAAAATCTTAGCTCACACCTAATTTGACCTACTGTTGGTCATTTTATTAATTCAGACTTTTAATACCAAGGGATAATTTCCAAGAGAAGCTGACATGCAGATGTCAAAATTAAGCCTTTCATTTAGGTCAGTGGATGTCTTCATTTAAGAATAACAGAATTCTACTCAGCATGCGCATGAGTCCTGCCAAAAGGAATAATGTGGTTTGCAATATTCCTTTATTGTGACCCATTTTTGTCAGACCCCATGATGGTACCAAGTAAGAAAAGCAATTAATAGGGCTTAGTAGAAGGGCTATTAATGAGATTTGCATTTATAGGAAAGAAAATATTATGGGATAGAAAAATCTTCATATATGACAAACTTCTTGAAAACTCTTTCATGGCCTCAGTGGTACTTTTTTAGTAATCAATATCAGTTTCTCCCACATTAAGTGGGATGGGAAGGCATGCTTTCACTTATGATGGGAAAGAATACTACACTGGGAATTTAGAAGCCCTGACTAGACCAGGCTTTGTTGCTAACTCACTGTGTGATATGACATTGGGATAATCACACTTCATTTATAAAATTGTTACTGTCAGTTTTGATTGTTTAGTCATCAAGTTAATTATCGGCATGAAGGAGTGATATCTTTCAATTCTTCTGGTTCTTTCAGGGCAAAAGACCATGTAGCACTTGTCTGAAAAATTTTACCTGTACTTACTCCTTTATTCTTTGCAAAACTAGGCCCTCAAAAATTTTGCTGGGGCAGCTAGGTGGCGCAGTAAGTAGAGCACAGGCCCTGGAGTCAGGAGTACCTGACTTCAGATGTCCTCAGACACAGATGTGTGACTCTGGGCAAGTCACTTAATCCCAATTGCCTTGCCAAAAAAAAAAAAAAAAATTTCTTTCTCTGTTTTGACAAAAAGGATCATTGCTAATAAATCACCATTTAGGTTCAAAATAAAATCATTGTTATAAATCAAGTAAACATGTATAATATAGCCAATATTTTAGACTGATTTTGACTTGAGTTCTATGGAATATTTGATATTTGGTAACTGTAGCAAGACCCGTAGAAGATAATGACTTTGTTTTTAAAATGTTTTTTGAACAAGTGTTAAGAATTTTGTATCACTGGAGTGCTGCTGGTGATAAAAAATTATCAGGATTTAAGTTTTTTTTTTTCCCAAAAGGGTAAAATGAAGGGGAAAGAAAGACAAAATAGTCAGAGTGGATGCACAAGGAAAAAGAAGGAGGACATCTAAGAACCATACAAAGGGAAAAGAAGAAAATGAGTAGACTCTGGTACTGATTGTGAGTCTATGTGGATAAAAAGAGTGAAAGTAATAGCTAACATTTTTATAGGTTTTAAAGTTTGCAAAGCACTGTACTAACACATACGTATTACCTCACCTTATCATCACCACAACCTCATGAAGTAGGTGCTGTTTTCCCTATTTTACAGAAAAGTAAACTGAGGCCAAAAGAGGTTAAGTGAATTAGGGTCATAGCTGATGTGTCTGAGACAGGTTTCAGACTCCAGTTTTCTTAACTTTTCTAATGCTCTACAATGTTACAGTGTGCTATCCTTTATGCCACGTAGCATCCAAAAGACAGCATAATAATTCAGGCAAAATATCTTGCAGTTGAGGATAAGAGGCTTTGCATGTATAGTAGTGGACCAATGTGCTTCATTTAACCCATGTAAGTATTTTCAATTTCAATATGTGAAATGGACCTACATCCCAGGAGTTCCATTATATAAAATTAGTCTATAAGACTAAGCCTTCTCTTAAAAAGGGAAATGAAATAGGTGATAACTGAAATGTTAACCAAAAGTAGACAACGCTGCAAGATATTTGGAAACTGTGACTGTAAGATAAAAGGTTATTTGTTAAGATAAATAGGAATTAATATGTAGTGGGGCATGGTGGCAAACACCTGAAATCCCAGCTACTAGGAAGACTGAGGCTGGCAGATCTTTTGAACTTAGGAGTTCTGAGCTGTAGTGGGCTGAGACAGTTGGGAATTCATACCAAATTTAGCATCAGAGGAAAGATGCAAGAATATAATAGGAAGGCCAGAAGAGATATTGTGGGAATACACTTACCTTGTAGACTCAGCCAAAGAAACACCTATTTTTCTATTATGAGACATTTATTAAGTCCTTGAAAATTTTGGAATTAACAGCAAGGCCCTAGATGCCAAACACTGATTTTTTATTTTTATCAAAACTAAAAATTCAGTTCTATATTCAAATCACCTTTATCATTATATTACTAGTCCTTTAAAAAACATGCTGTCTGTCACATTTCCTTTTGAAGTGTTCAAAGGGTACTCCATTTTACTTAGATGTTTTCTCATTAAGCATATGTAGGACAGAGAGCCTCCTAAAAAGACAAGTCTTTTGTCTTGAGTACGGAAGTATAATAAATTGTCCCCCCAATCCCTTGGACTCTGAGGAAGAGAAAGCACCCTCCCCCACAAGGGGAAAAGTCATCACTTTCCAGCAAAAAATACAGCTTTGGCCCCTTAGTGAAAATAAGTCACTTGGGTGAATATGCACATGACTGTGTCCAAAAGCATTCATTAGGAATTAAAAACCATTGCATAGGTTTGGAGTGCAGGCACAGATCCAGAATTAAAGATGAAAACCTATCTACCCCCCCCACCCCCAATTTCCCTTGTAGAATCAAAGACCCATGCATTTTGGACTCTTTACTAGGAATAATTCTATTGAAATGGATCTGTCCAGTAAACAAAAGAATTTTCATTTTTACATTTATACAGTAAACTTGCTTTCATGCGCAAAAGTTAGTGCTTTCAGTACCTTAACTATCGTCTGAATTAATTATAAAAAACAAAGCCCAAACCAGAAACAACAGCGGTATGGTGATGTTACCAAATTTTCAGCACTGCCTTCTTCCCCACAATAAAACACAACCTTTACATATCCACAAGTACTATATAGTAATCCACTTTTAAACCAATATAATTAAAGATTTTATTTATTTCCCAATAACACAAACTTCCTTTAATAAGTAATGAACATTAATGACTGAATTGTCTAGCCCCTCAGCTCCCACATTTACTAGTCACCTAGCTGTCTGGGTCTCTAATCTCCCTACCTTTTTCTGGGACTTGGGTATCTAGTCCTTCAGTTCCCATCTTTCATTAAATCTGTCATTGTAGACATGGGTTGTGTTACAACCGTAGAATAAAGAACATGAAAATTTGGGTACATCTGTACAACAGAAAGCCAAACATCTCTTAATCTGATTTGTTTATAATGTCATTTGATAGAATGAAATGTTATGTAGCTCATTCCTACAGTTAGGGAAGCTTTACTAAAAGATCACTGTTTGTCCTTTCCAACTCTGCTTGAATGCCAGCTGGATGTTTATCTTACAGCTAAGGTTTTCCCAGCAGATCTCTGCATGTCAGTCAGACACAAATAACATTGGTCATTGACAAGCCTCTCTTCATAATTATTGGGCCACAAGCTCAAATGTTTCAGCTACAGTCAGTTGTGTTTCACATATTAAAAAAAAGCTCACTGAGTTCAAAACTCAGCTTTTATCTCAATCAAGATGCTAGGTGACAAGACTCCTTGATAAACTTAGTTCTGGGTGTCACAGGTTTGGTAAAGTGCATTATAAATTTATTTTAAATATTTTGAGTTGATAAAATTTTTTAAAGAGTAATCTTGTGATAGTGGCCAAAGAACATGAATTGACTCAGCATTTTCTCCAAAGTGAAAAATAAATAATTAGAATGTCTATTCATTCACAGGATTTATATTGTACATGCTGAACAGAAACTTTGAGTGGCACTACCAGTATTTAGGTTACTATAAATTATAGAGTCAGCCATCTTAGGAGAAAAAGTCTTTATTTTTAACCACACTCACGTCCAGACCTAAATTTGGCTCATGCTCTGGAAAGGAAAACTTAGAAAATTGGAATAAACCATGTAGGGTCAATATGAGGAAAAGACTATTTTTCTTCAAAGACTTTCTCCAGTACTTGTTCACCAGCTCTACTTACTCCCTCAAAGCATTAATTTTCTTTCAGCACCTGACTTTTGAGAAATAGAAAATATGGCAAATAGAAATTCATGTCTCTTTTTTTCTGAAACGTTCTAAAATGATGATAGATGCTTTTAGAGTTGGTACAAATAAAAACATCCCACAAGTCTGCAGATGAAATATGCTTTAACTAAATAAAGCACAATAAAACCTGCTAAATTAAAATTTTAAACCTCTTTTCCCCATTTCCCTGAAAGGCACTGATCCAATGAGGCTGCACGGTAGCAAATGAGATCCAGGCTCTTTGCCATCAAAAATACTCTAAGAAGTGTGTTTTTCTTTGGGAAGCCTTAGGAGAGGAGAAACTTAAATCTGGAACTGTATTTCAGCCTCTATAGGAACAAGTTGGAGACAGTAAAACTTCAACAGCAGTGCTTTCCTCAATTGAGTTGGTTACTCAAGAAACGAAAACTGTTCTAAGAAAGAGAAGAAATACATTTATATTCCTTTTGAGGCAAGGAGGGAGGTCTTTTTTGGCAAAGTCTCTGTTCTCTTCCAGCTTGGAAACTTAATCTTCAAGTTCAAAGCTTGTTTCATCCAGTAGTTCAGGACGAGCTGACTTTTTGTGCCGTGAGTATTTCAGTCTCAGAAGATTACCTATTTCATCAATCTCTTTCAAGACCTGCAATGACAATAATTAGAATACGTTCTTTCAGTACACCACATTAGTTACACCTGTAGTATTGTTTTTATGGTAATCCATTTTAAACAAAAAAGAGTAAGATTTTGTAATTATTTTTCTGAACCCTAACCCTTATTAACTTTTAAGTTGTTGATTTAATCCCTTCACATCCTCAAAATCCAACTTATCCTTCAAAACTCATCTCATGTCTTTTTTCATGAATCCTTTCTTTGACACTCCTCCCCTTTTTCTTCACCCACCAACTAGAATTGATTAATTAATTTGTCCTGCTTCTGAATCTGGGTGTTGAGCTGCAGTGGGGAGTGATGGAATTGAAGTCAAACTCACTTGCTCTAATTTACATACTCCATTTTCTTCTCTTTGAAAAAAAATTGGACAGTATTTGCCCTCCTTCAATTGCATAGTGTCTGTCCCATTCTCTACACAAACAAGTAAGGTATCCTGCTTTAATGATGAGGAAGTTTATGATCATAAATAATAAATGATTTTTGGAAATGTTAAAGTTTTTCCACATGAGATATAATTTTCAGTTACTAGCCTCTTAATTGGCTGTCAGTGCATCAGGTTGTCTCTTGGATTTCTCTTTAGGATTCCATAGTTCTGCAAAGACTGTTGTCTTTGTGAAGTGATAACTCCTACTCTGATAAATTATCATTATTACTAGAGACAAATTTATGTGGCATTTGTTTGGCATTTTGTATATTTCAAAATATTTTCATCTGAAAAATCTGTTTTTCTCTGAGACCTGGTTTCCTCATCTGTCAAATAAGGCCTATCTTAGCCACTTCAAAGGACTACCCTTATCATCTAATGAGGTGAAAGTTGGGAAAGTGCTTTGAAAAGTCCAAAGGGTGATACAACTATAGAGGTGACATTAACACTGATCTGTTGTTATTGCCTTCCCTCCTCAAATTATCTTGTGTTTAGGTTCTCTTTACATGTTATATTTTCCCATTAAAGGGTAAGCTTCTTAAGGGTAGATTCTGTATTTTTTTGGGGGGGGAGCAGTATCTCTACTGTTTGGTACAGTTGCTTTGTATGCACAAGATGCTTAATAAGTGCTTGTTGAATTTAAATCTGGAAAGTAGGGATAGCAATATTTGCATTACTACCTATCTCAGGGTTTTTGTGAGAAAAGTGTGTAAGCAGAAAGGGGTCTAAGCTATTTCAGGAAGGATTTAGTCTGGGCTAAATATAGAATTATGAATAATATGAGTTACTAAATATTAGAATGGATCAGGGGAGGCCAGAGCTGGGTGGATTTTGTTCACAGAATCTCCTTCTTGGAGACCTTTATAAATGAAAAGAGTTTTACATGTGGTCTTAGCCAGAGAAAAAGGGATAGACTAGATGCCTCAGATGTCCTTGTTTCTCTTTAAAGTAATCCAAATTATCTGTGTGATAATCACAAGGTTTGACAGCCAGTCAGTCAACACACATTTTTTAAGAACCTTCTATGTGTCAGGCATTGTGCTAATCATTAATCTTATAATACATAAAATGAAGACTTTAATCAGAACTGGCATTTCAGTTAAGGTGTGTGTGTGTATGTGTGTGTGTGTTTGTGTGTGTGTAAGTTACATAGATCTTAAATTCCAATATAATTCAATTCAATAAGAATTTATTAAGTTGCTGCTATATGCAAGGCACTGTACTAGTTATTGGGAATATAAGGACAAATATACATGTACATAGTTAAGTAAATACTAAATACATACAAACTAAATATGATATAATTTCATTTTTTCTATTTGTGTGAGTATATTGAGGAGCACTAACAATTGTGATAATTGAAAAGACCTACTATAGGAGGGGGTATTTGAAGTGACCCTTAAAAAGTACAAGGGATTCAAAGAGGCAGAAGTGAGGACATGACTTGAGAGAGAGAATTTTGTGTACTGGAGAGTAGCAAGGCAGGCCGGTTTGGCTGAAGCATGGAGGGAATGAAGGAGAATAATGTGAAATAAATCTGGAAAGATAGGTTAGAGCTAGATTATGAAGGTATTTAAATGGCATTATCCTTTTCAAGTGGGAGATTGAAATGGTCAGACCTGTGCTTTAGGAATATTAGTTTGGTAATAATGTGGAGGATGGATGAGAAGCAGATGAATTAAGGTGAGCTGTTGTATTGGTCTGGGTAAGAGGGGATGAGGACCTTATTGGGGGGGGGGCGTCTGTGAGTGAAAAGAAGGAATGGATGCAACATAGAATGTGGAGGTAGATTCTACGAATCTTGGTAATTGATTGGATATGGGCCATAAGAGGTTTGAATAGGCTGATTTTGAGATTGTGAAGATGGGTAACTGGAAGGGGGAAAATAATGAAATCTATTTTGCACATGTTGAGGTTGAGATACTTAGGCAACATCCAGATGGAGATGGGGCAGGCAGTTTGGTGATATGGAACTCAGGAAAGGAATAAGGGCCAAATTTATAGATTTTGGAGTTGCACGCATAGAGATGAGAATGGAACCTGTAGGGAGCTGATGAGATCACTGAGAGAGAGAGAGAGAGAGAGACAGAGACAGAGAGACAGAGAGAAAGAGGGTATAGAGAGAAGAGAGCCCAGGACAGAGAACCTGTGCATTGGTTACACGGTGTAAATTCCTGTTTTATTTCTTCATATTGTGTGAGGTACCATATTCTTCTGCTCTGACATAGGAAAGACTGAAATAAATGTCAGAGAAAGAAAGCCTATTTGTAATTACTTTCACATCACTTTGTCCCAGTGGGTTCTTGGTCTATTGGATTTATTATGATACGTTTATTTGTTATTTAACAATTGTAAGACACACCTGTTAGGTCAATGTTATTTGTTAAAAATACAAAGTCATAAACCTCAGAATTTAAAGGTACCTTGAAGACCATCTCTAGCAACTTGTATCTGGCCAAGAATCTGATTTTCAGCATTTCTAAAGTGAAGGCTGGAGGTCATCCAGCCTTTAGTTGAAGATGCCCTAGGGGGTTGATGGCATAGGATGAGGACCTCTTAAGTCATCTCATTGTACTTTTGTATAGAACTAATTTTTAGGAGGTTTTCCTTACATTGAACATAAATCTGCCCTTCTTAAATTTTCTCCCATTACCTGCAGTTCTATTCTTTGGGACCAAGTAGAACAAGTCTGATCTGTTTTTGATGTACTTAAAGATTATCATCATGGTCCTGCCCACTCCCCAAGGTCTTCTCACCTCTGGATTAAACAATTCTAGTTTCTTCAATGGATCCTTAATTCAGTAGTGGAAAAATGTAAATCATCTAGTTTTATATGATGCCAAAATACTGGCTTAACCTAATTGACTGAATTTTTTCATTGAATTGGCTGATCATCACTCCTTCCCGCCCCCCAACCCCACAATTTACTGAATTTCTTATATGGTTAGGCATCTTGTTGTCATAGGCTTAGTTTTTGTTTACTATTTTGATTTGTATTTTTTTCAAGTCACCCAGCGGAGACCTAGGAACCTCCGAATGTTAAACAATTGACTATCTTTGAAAACTAAAGTAACAGAACTTTCTGGCCCACAGGACCACGAAGAATCCAGTAAAAAACTTCTTGAGAACTTACCGTGTCTAGCATTTCCTGAGTATGTGAAGATGACATACAAAACCGAGCCCGAGCTTCTATTATTGGAGTGGCTGGAAAGCCTACTACTACAACACCAATTTTTCTTTGTAATAGGATTCTTGCAAATGCCCTATGCGGGTGAGGAGGGGTTGGAGTGGTGAACAAAACAAAGAGAATTAGCAATAATCCAACACTATCCACAAAAGAAAATGAATGTGAGGAGTTACAATTATTTGTGGCCAATGCTTGAAAACAGAAATTGAGGAAAATTACAATTTCTTTAAAATATTTCTTGAGACTTCATGGATCTGTTTTTCCTAAGTATAGGCCTTCCACCAGTATACATTGTAGCCCTCTTTAAAAGTTAGTAGATGATCTTTGGGAGTTTCTGGGAAAAATTAATTGACCTCTGGCAAGCCTGGTGATTAATATTTTTAGATAAAGCTAAGCTAATACTTGGATAACAGACAAACCTGGACAAAACCCATGGTAGAACTCTGTTTAATGTGGTGGGATCTTTTAGAGTTTGTGCTATGTTAGAATACTCTTCAACAACCCAGGGTTGCCTTCACATCTTGAGTGAGGGGTTTTACCATCTCAGTTAGTGGAGATGATAGTTTTGTAACCTTTCAAATATAACTTGAAACTGTTTAGTCAATATTGAGACCATGCTAAATACAGAGTTTTGTTATAGGGGCTATGAAAGTTGATTAGCCCTTTATAAATGGCAATAAAATCTCCTGACATTGAAAAGATGATTTTACTACCTGTTGAATGTGTTTTGAAAAGTGTGTGCATATATGGTGCTTTAAAATTTGCCAAGCTGCTCTCTAAATACAAAAGATTGATCTTTGGAACATGATGGTCTGTGAAAATCAAAATTGCAGGTGCCCCAAAGTTTGGTGGAGAGATGTGTGGTGGCAGCAGCTTATTTCCAACTATGACTTAATGCACATGAAAGTGGAATAAAGATAAATAAATATATAAATAAATAAAAATAAATATATTTTAATACTTAAAGGGAACCATCATCTCAGACTTTGAGTACAGTGTATAACAGTGAAGCTCTCAACCTACCCCTTCCTTCTTATCCCATGCAGCTCTTTCCCATGTCCTGTACATACTGCAGGCCTTTCTGTAGGTCTTTTAGCATTGTTTGGCTACCCGTGTACTACTTGGGTTGTACCCGTTCTCTTATTTAAAAAAATTTTTTTTATTATTGCCTTTTGTTTTTAAACTGGAGTCATTTCCCTTTAAACTGCCATGTCCCATTGAATTCTTCATTGTAATAAACAAATTTGGTTTTATGCAAAGCCAAATAATATCCAAATTGTATCTGATAGCATAAACTACATTCCACAATCATATTCCTTATCTCTCTACTGAGATGAGGAAGGAATATTTGCTTATCAGAAATTTCTAGGACCAAGATTTTTCATTCATTCATGTCATTCAGTTCAGCTGCTCTAGTGTTAATATATATGTTTGTATATATATGTATACACACTACTGTTGGTTTGGATTTTTTTACTTTGAATCACTTCAAAGAAATAATAACATGTTTCTTTGAATGCTGCATATTTGTAATTTCTTAGGGTATACTAACATTCTGTTCTACTTGTATATCACAGTTTATTTAGTCATTTCCTAGTCATTGGAAACCTGTTTTGTTTCGTATTCTTTTGCTACCACAAAAAAGTACTATTATGATGTTATTAGGACCTTGTTTGTCATGAATTTCCTTGGGGTATATGCTGAGATGTGCTGGTAAATGCTTAACAATCAGCTCTCTGAAAATGCAGGACAGACTTTTAAGGTTAATCTGCATTACTTATATTTTCTCCATTACTTGAAGTCTGTATAAAGAATAACATAATAAATTAAACCTTGATTGACAGTGTTTGAAGATTTGTGAGATATAAATGCTTACCCTGAAATTTTAACAACTGACTCAGAGCTGTTATGAACTAGCTTCAGCATGCCCCTGGTATGCCTGGTAGTGAGATCACAGGGTCAAAGGGTATGAACAGTTGAGTAACTTTGCCCACATAATTCAAAATTGATTTGCAGAGAGATTAGATTGACTCAAAATAGTGTATCAGCATTGATTCCCCCAATAGTGTATCAGAATTTTCATCTTCTCATAACCCTGACAACATTGACTCTTTCTGTTCAGAATTGTTTAAATATACATTTTCTATCATAATTAGGGATTTGGATAATATTTTCATATGTTGATAATTTATATTTCTTTGGAAAATTATTCATATCTTTTCACTACCATTCTGTTGGGGAATGCCTCTTTGTCTTATGGTTTGGAACAATTCCTTATATGTTTATAATATCATACCCTTAGCAGAAAATTTAATACAAAGATTTTTTCCCATCTTGATAAATTCTCTTATGCTAATCTTTAATTTTGGTCATGTAAATGCTTTCATGTTTTATATAATTTAAATTGTCTATTTTTGATTAAGAATTCTCCCAGTAATGATAGTTGTGAAATGTGAAAGGTGCTTCCTTCTATTCTGTACTAAAAAAATGAACTTTTCACATTTAGATTACATATTCACCTGAAACTTGACTTTAGGTGCAGCCTTTTGACTGAGTCCAAGTTTCACAGAACAGATCCTTTTATTGAGGGGAATTTGTTCTATGAAGTTTGGATTTTGTCAAAGGGCAGCACTTGAGGAACTAGAAGGCCACATGTGGCCTCGAGGCTGCAGGTTCTCCACTCCTGGACTAGACTGTTCTTCCTTTAATAGTTTGTGTTAATTGGTTTTAATGAACATTATACTCAAGTTCATTTGCTTCTGAATGTTGCTTATTTAGTCTGTTCTGCTGTTATACATTTTTTTCTTTAACCAATACCAAATAGTTTCAAGGATTGATGTTTTGTAGTATGGATTGAAATATGGTAATGTTATGTTTCCTTCATTCCTTTTTTCTTTCTTTCTCTTGAGGTTCTAGACTATTTGTTTCTCTAAATAAATTTTTTTTTGTTCTAGTTCTATAAAGTAATCGCCTGCCTGTTTGTTGTAGTGCTAATCTGTAAATTAATTTTGGTAGTTATCATTTATGTTTTGCTATAACCTAACCATTAACAATGAACTCCTCTTCATTTACATCTTCCTTTAAGAGTGCTTTCAAGTTTTCTTTATAATAACCTCCAAGTAATATCCCTGTGGGTTAACTCGGTGATGTTTTATGGATTTTGTAATTACTCCTGTTATTTCATTTTTTTTAATTTTTGGGTACTGTATATTAAAGGCTAGTGGGTTGTTTTTTTTTTTTTGGATTTATGTTCTTTTCCGCTACTTTGCTGAAGCTATTAACTTTTTTTTTTTTCAGTGCCCATTCCCTGGGGTTTTCTAAACCAATTAACATGCCAATTTTGTATTCTCTTTCCCTGTGTTTATACCTTTGATTTTGTTCTCTTGCCTTGTTGCCATACTTAAGATTTTTAGAGTGATGTCGAATAATAGCATGAATTAGCGATACTTTTGCTTTTCCTGTGAACTTATTAGAAAAATTTCTAATATTTCATTATTTCAGATAATACTGACTTTTGGTTGAGTTTTATACTCTAGATTACATTAAAAAAAATCCTTTCCATGCCTGTGATTTTGAGTGTTTTTTCTTAAAATATAAATAAGTACTTGTTGTAGCTGGTTCACCTCTTTGGTCATATTATCACCTGGTTGTCTTTTAAAGTATTTTGTGTACCAGATTATTGTAAGTAATACGCTGCAGGCTGTTTACATCCACCCTTTCTATTACTTTTTGGGTCACCTACAGTTTTGATTCTTATGTTACCTTCCAAAAAATGTATGATCAGAAAAGGAAGTGGACTGTTTCATTAAGTTAAACTTCAGTAAATTCTGTTCAGCAAACATTTATTAAGTACTTTCTCTTGCTAGGTACCGTGCTTAGTACTTGGAATGACAAGACAGAAATGAAACAACCTTGCCTTCAAGGTGTGTATCGTCTCTTGGAATTATAACATGTAAATACAGTATGATTGAGGACAGAGAGAGCATTAACAATTGGGGAGATCAGGAGGTGGCATCTGAGCTGTTTCCTGAAGTAAACTAGGGGTTCTAACAGATAAGGTTGAGGTGGCAGTGCATTTTAGGACGGGGGGACAGTTCGTAAGGTAGCTTTGTCAGTCATTCAAAGATCATTTATTCAGTGATTACTGCATCCTAGGTACTATGTGGAACACTGGGGAGAAAAAAAAAGATAAAAAAACCCAGTCTTCATTAATAGTGAAAAATAATAGATGGAGAGCCTTGAATGTTGTATGACATCTCTATAATATTAGAATAGCTAAAGGAAAACCTCTAGTAGAGAGATTTTTTTACAGGGGATATACTGAGGGCATGGAAAATATTGAAGGGTGAGATGTGGTTAGGTTGTGACCTGTATGCAGAAGTAAGAAATGCCTATATTGATGAATTAATGGATCCATTGAATTATAAAAATTACTAATAACTAGAAATAATAACAAAATCAAAGTATTTAATAATGATAGTAACATTTATATAGTGCCTGCTGTGTGCCAAGCATTGTGCTAAGTACTTTACCAGTATCTCATTTGATCCTAATAACAATCCTGGGAAGTATGTGCAGTTATTATCTACACTTTATAGACAAAGAAACTGAAGATTGACAGAAGTCAAGTGACTTGTCCAGGGTCACAGAGCTCATAAGTGTGTGACATTAAATTTGAACTCAAGTCATTCTGATTGTAGGCCCAGTCCTCTATGGGCTCTACCACTCAACAGTCCAAGCATTAATGCCACTTCATTATCCTGTATTGTTTTTGCTTCTCCATATCTCTAATACTCAGCAAATGCTACAATAGGTTGAAGCATGTAGATTATGCAGCTTAAGGTGCTACTCTCACCTCGTGATTCAATTTCATTTCCAGACCAGGGATCTTGTTTCCTTCCCTAAGAGTGGAACAAGCAAAGAATCTATATGTATATGTGTGCATATGTACGTATATGTATACATATATACACACGTATAAATACACACACACACACATATATATATATATATGTTTATATAGCATGGGTGGATTGTGATGTGAGAGAGAGTTCTTGAAGCATGCTTAGGTAATCC